GCAACATTTACTGACACCTGATCGGCACGTGGCAGGACAGACAGATGGTTTGCGGATCCTACAGGGTCTGGCCTTGGAGGGGCTTCAATACAGACCCAGAAACAGCTGGATGCGGCCTGCTGACGCCATCGGATACCACAGAGAGCTTTATCCTGTGGAACACGCTTTTCACAGTTATCTTACTTAATCCCCAGAATCACACAGGCAACGCTAATGACAAAGCGCAGCTGGCAAGAGTGACCTGCAGCCGAGTCAGGGCCTCCACCTGCTACCACCTCATCTTCACCGCACCCACCATGCCGGAGTCTGAAGCAACTGCCCCTCACTCCTGTCCCACCAGAGCTCCAGTGCCATCCTGCCCACCCACTCTAGGCCCCACCTGCCCGGCACAGACACCACCCACAATGTCATCTGGGCTCTCAGCATTGTATGACAGCCACACCGGCCCAGCCCTGCTCCCTGGTGCGGCTCCCCTCTCGGCTCTGCCGAGCTCACACCCTCCACTTAAATCGACCCTCCCCCAGGACCTGCCAGGGGCTCCCCCACACTGTAGCAACCTGGCTCCTCCTCAGAACTCCCTTGGAGCCTCTAAGCCCCCTAAGGGCAAAGGCCACAGACCACTAACCCTCAGGACCTTACACACAACACCAATAGTAAATGGTGGCTGAGCTGTAACAAAAATGTCACCACTACAGCTAATAGGACACTTGTTCTTTTTAAAATCTACAAAAACATACTAAAGAAATGCTCTAGCCAGGCACAGTGGCGCACACCTATAATCCCAGCAATTCAGGAGGCTGAGGTTGGAGGATCACAAGTTCGAGGTCAACCTAAGCAACTTAATGAGACCCTGTCTCAAAGTAAAATTTAAAAAAAGGGCTGGGAATGTAGTTCAGCAGTAGAGCACACCCAGGTTCAGTACTCTATACCAACATGAAAAAAAAATAGGAAAGAAAGATAAAAAGATCCCCAACAAGAACAAAAACACACAGAGAGCAAGGTCAGCCATGGGCTGCTACGTGCTCAGTGACGTGGACTGGTCTGGTGTTTGCAGCTCTTCTCTACAGAGCCAATAAAAATTATCCCTGGGGGAGCCAGTGCTTTGGTACATGCCTATCATCCCAGCTGCTTGGGAGGCTGAGGCAGGAGGATTGCGAGTTCAAAGCCAGCCTCAGCAATGGTGAGGTACTAAGCAACTCAGGGAGACCCTGTCTCTAGATAGAATACAAAACAGGGCTGGGGATGTGGCTCAGTGGTCAGTGCCCCTGAGTTCAATCCCTAGTAACAGCCCCCGCAAAAAAATGATCACTGGGAAAGTGACGCAGAAAAGCGGGGTGACGTTACATGTGAACCAGGTTAGAAGTGCCGGTGAGGGCAAAGGCCTGGGTGAAGTCCTCACTGACTTCCGTCTTCAGGGACGCCGTCTGCTGCCTTTCTGCTGGACAAAGGGAGGGACAGGCTCTCCCCTGTCTGCAGCTGGAGGAAAGGCCAGCAGAGGGCAGATCAAGGCTCCCGGGTCACAGGAGCCAGAAGGCTGCCTGGAGTGTCACTACCTAAGGTCCACCTCCCCCTACCAGGGCTCAGGACTGGGCCTGTCACAAAGAATGTTCAACAGATGTCAGAAGGACAAGGAAAGACCCAGGTCCCACAGGTGCAGACTG